AATTTTGACAAGCTTCAAATTAAGAGATGTCTCTCCCTTAAGGATCTCTTGTAGCTCAGGGTCAGAGTCTTGATGATGTGCCAAAGTTTTGGCATCTACAATGCTGGGAGCCGTAGTTGACAATGAATCTACACGAGAAAATGCGTCAGCTACTAGGTTGGCCGATCCAGAAACATGTCTTATGTCTGTAGTGAATTGTGAAATGAATGTTAGTTGGTTTTGCTGAACAGGAGGTAGTTTTTCACGTTTTTGACTGAAGGCAAATGTTATTGGCTTGTGGTCTGTGAAAACTATGCAATGATTTGCCTCAAGGTAGTGACGAAAGTGACGAATGGCGGCATATACAGCGAAAAGCTCACGGTAATAGGCTGGCCAAAGGGATTGTTTTGGTGTCAGTTTCTGTGAAAAGAAAGAGAGAGGTTCCCATGTTTTATTGTCAACCATCTGCTGGAGAGCAGCTCCTACATGGGTACTCGAGGCATCACAGAACAATGCGAGAGGGGCCTTGTGGTCAGGGTGAACAAGCAAGGTAGCATTGGAGAGATGTTCTTTGCAGGATAAGAATGCAGCATCCAATTCAGGAGTCCAATTTACAGGTTGGTTTCCACGTAGAGATGAGAGGGCATCATGGAGAGCTGCTTGTTGCTTGGCTGCTGAAGGAATGAATCTGCGGTAGAAATTCAACATGCCAAGAAAACGACGCAAACCTTTTGCAGTAGAGGGACGGGTGAATTGTTGCAGAGCCTCAACACGTTCAGGAAGTGGTCGAGTACCAGCAGATGATACCTCATATCCTAGGAAGGTAACCTTTGGAGCTTTCAAAACAGTCTTATTTACGTTAACGAGTATGCCATAATCAGAAAACCGATTGAATAGAGTTCGTAGATGGGCTTCATGTTCAGTCTCATCCTTAGAGAAAACTAAGACGTCATCTATATAAGGAAAGCAGAAGTCTAAACCAAAAACTACTTCATCGATGAAACGCTGAAAAGTTTGTCCTGCGTTGCGGAGGCCAAAGGACATGAAGGGGAATTCAAACAATCCAAAGGGGGTTGTAATGGCTGTCTTCGGGATGTCTTCAGGGTTGACAGGGATTTGTGTGTAGGCCTTCACTAGGTCGATCACAGAGAAATACTTGCAACCTCTGAGAGAATGGGTGAAATCGTGGATATGTCTAACAGGATATCTGTCAGGAATAGTCCTAGCGTTGAGAGCACGGTAGTCTCCACAGGGGCGCCATCCATCAGGTTTCTTAGGGACCATGTGAAGGGGTGATGACCAAGGTCCATCAGATCGACGTGCAGTACCATCGGTGAGCATGGCATCAAACTCGGCTTTGGCTATAACAAGCCGATCAGGGGCGAGTCGACGTGGACGAGATGAAACTGGGGGGCCAGGGGTCGTTTTGATGTAATGCAAGGTTGAATGGAGCACTTTTCTTGGTGTACCAGAGGGTCGGGTAATCATGGGAAATTCTGCCAGTATTGATGAAGTTGGAGAATTGGGTGTGATAGTTTTTATGCTGAAATGAGGGATTGAGGTACATTGACAAAGAACAGAAAGGTTTGTTACACTGTCAATCAACCGTTGATTACGACAGTCAGGAAGCAATCCAAAGTGTGCTAAAAAGTCAGATCCTATAATCGCTGTATTAACATCAGCAATGACAAAATTCCATGTAAAAGCTCGTTTCAGCCCTAAGTTTAATGTTAATGTCATCATACCGTAGGTGTGAATGGCAGAGTTGTTTGCTGCACGAAGTTCATATTCTATATGCTTTTGGTTCTTACAAACGAATGATTTAGGGAGGCAGCATATGTCGGATCCAGTGTCAATCAAAAATTTTGTATTAGTTGTACGGTCGACGATTTGTAGGCGGCGCCCTCCAGCTTGGCAGTCAGCTGACGCCATCACTGGCTGTCTTTGGAGTTTGTCGGAGAAGTGAAATTGCATGGTGGAATGCACTTCTCAGCTTGATAGCCAAAACGCTTGTGGTACCAGCATAGATTGGTTTGCTCTGTAGTGTCAGAGGAGCTACCTGCGTGATAACGACTACTAGACAAACTCCTCTGACGTGACCTAGGTCGCCTGTCACGTAGGGAATCAACATCTTTACGCATATTTTTCATTTGCAACTCCAAAGCAGATAATTTTGATAAAACTTCTGTTAATTTTGGGTCATCAGAAAATGAAGATTTAGGATTTGGTGAATTAACGGCATTCAAAGATGTAGGCATACTAGTGAGAGAATGGCAAAAAGATGCGTTAGGTTGGACTGCTAGAATTTTGTCGGCAGTAATTGCAAGTGTGTCAGTTTGGGCACTTGTTTGGACTTGCAAAATACTTTGTACATGAGCAGGAAGTCTCTGCATCCAAATAGTTTTCAGTAAACTATCTTGGATTGTGGTCGAACCTACTAGTGATCGAAGGTGGCGTAGGAACTGAGAAGGAGTTTTGTCACCTAGTTCCTCCTCCATCAATAGCTGACGAATGCGTTGCTCCTCAGATAGAGACAACCGTCTGATTATTTCAGACTTAAGAGTAGAGTAAGGAGTTTCAACAGGTGGATCTATTATAAGATCCTCCACTTCATTAGCATAGCGCTCATCAAGATGTGAAATTACATACGAGTATTTAGTTGTTTCACTCGTGATGTGAGCCAGTGTAAACTGAGCCTCAACTTGGGCAAACCAGAGCCTTGGTTTCTCTTTCCAGAATGGTGGAAGTTTTATGCTTACCCGGTGGATGTGATGATCTTCATGTCGTTCGTCGGAATGGGCTGTATGATCTGGCTGATGCTGTGGTAGAACTGGTGGAAGATCAGGTAGGTTGGCTTCTTGAGGATGTACAGAAATGTGATTTTGTTCTTGTCTTCCATTCAAATCTTGAAGTTGTCTTTGTAGGTTGGCATTCTCACTCTCTAATTGAGCTAGGCGCTCCAAAAGTTCTTGGTCCATGGCGTAAAACGATAATTTGGGGAAAGGTGAAAAATAAATGAAGTTTTGGTAGAAGGTTGAAATTCAATGTAGGAAAAACATCAATTTAGTTTGAAATAATTTACTTGTTAGTCGGGGTCACCATTTCTAGCGGATAGACGCACTAAAACAAATCATTCTAGTAAAAGGTCATTTAATTTATAGAGAATAGTTAAGTAGTGTAATCCACTAGATTCAAATCAGAAAAACTGTTGTTACCTAGGTTGCTAGGATAACAAAAAAATAAACAAATGATTAAAGTAAATACAGAACACATGGTTATTGTGTTAGACAGTTTAGTGGCACCACAACTTTATATGACTTGAAAAACTAAATTTTAGTTTTCCGAAAACATTCAAAGTTAGATCTAATTTTTGTACTTTACTATAATATGATGGTATGTATTTATAGGAAATATATTTCTGAATACTGAAATATACATATATATACAGAAATATAAACAAATAAAGGTTCCAGAAGCATTATTCTGGCGTGAGACACACATACCATTGTAGGCTAGGCTATGATTTAGGCCTAGGCTACTAGGCATAACCTCTAAACAACCACTATTTCAATTACACAAATTTGGACATAAATAATAATACTTACCCAGTGTGATATGGAAATACTATTACTAACTCATACACCACCTGACAATAGGAGTACAATTCTTTTACACTAAAACACTAGCCTCTAATGAAAATTAGCACAGGTAATAATGTAGCCGCACTGTAAACCTTACTTAGATTCTAGCGAACAGAACACAAACAACTTGTTTTTCCAGTTACAACTGATGTGTCACCTGAATCTCAATACTGAAAGGCACCAAAACATAGAGATAGAACGTTTTCTTAGCTTAAAATAGGTATGACAGTCATCACTCTATGTCAATTATCAACATATTTATTCGTGATTTAGAAACCGCCGTTATAGCGGCGCTTGGGCAAAATAGCCAACTAACAAAGCAGCTAAAAAACTAAACTAGCTAACTAAAAAAAAAAATCAGACTTCCTAACGTCGTATGACAAAGTTCTCTATACCTACGAGAATAAAGAACAACTGAAGTTCCTTCCAATGGTACCAACCACTTCCTGTATAGGCCAAAATTAAGACTTGTAGATTTTTTTCAAGAAAACGTGTTTTACGAGATTTTCTCGATCTCAGCTCGATAATGTTACACGCGGAAAAAATTTTCCAAATTATAATAGCAATTATATTGATCTGCTAGTGCTACAAGGTGTGTTTATATATGAAAATAAAAGTTCAGAATCTCCTCTTTCCAACGGTATCAAAACTATTATGCTTCTGGATCATTTTCGTTGCGTGATAAGCGTTTGAAAAAAAATGTCCGAAACGGCGTTTGGGCACCGAGCTCTCATATCAGAACGCCATTTAAACGGCACAAGGCAGTCCTAGGGTTAAATAAAAAACCAACCATTTAGTTGTATAAAATATTACATTTAATTTCTTTGGATCAGCTGTCTGAAATTGTGAAATAAGCAATTTGGCAGTTCTTCTTATTTACATTGAAATGTCAAAGCAAATGTAAACATTGTGATTATTCTCATTGCAGCCATGGAGACCAATCAATATTTACTTTTAAAATCCTCACCTCAGAACTTTTAATGCCAAAACGGCAAAGCCCATGGTCAGTATCAAATTGTGAATAGTCCTATGACCATCCTTGGTATGGTAGCTATATTTTTGTAAAATTTAAGCCCAGTCAGTTCAGTGTTTTTAACGTTAAATAGTAATACACATACAGACAAACACCATTATATTATATATATAGTAAAGTATAGTATAGATTAGATGGTGATTTATGTTCTATTAATTGTAAGTCTAGAAATGTAAGTTTTGGTGTATGGATTAAAAACTCTAAAAACTTCACTTTCAACTGACATAGGCCCCAAAAATCAGGTGGAAGGGAATGAGTCAACAGGTAATAGGCTAAACCTTATGATCAGCATAATAGTAAATGATGATAACTGAAGCAGATTCTAATCAATGTTTGTATTATTGCAGTTGGTGCGGAGATTCATTCGTCAGAGTTTGGAGCTCGTTGCACGATCAGGATGGCGCGACTCTGAGGTCAAACAACTCACCCACGTGTATCACCAGACGCTCACCTCCGCACCTATGGGTCTCAACATGCATATCATAGAGGTCTTCTGTGAGGAGCTGGCTAAGGTAGAGATAATTCACATCGAAATCACCTAAAAAATGTGTGCCATTTACATCGATTTGTGGAAATATGGAAATCAGATATCAATTGTGTCAATTAGAGTGGTCAGCAGGGTAGTGTGCACACAAGAACCCCTTCCTCACCTCTTGCGCTTTTATTTTGTAATAATAATTTCATCAATTGATTGCTGTGAGATTAAAAGTCTAGTGGTGTAACTCTCTGTCTGTGCTGTTTAGATCATCTCTCATACAGTACCTCACTACACGCCTTCCTGGTTAAACCAATCTTTAGGAAATGTAATGAAATATTTATGTAATACAAAGTCTACAAAATTGTGATTTTTGAACACATCATGAGTCACATCATAACTGGCAAAAGTACTGGCCAACATTCGGATCTGTTCAGGACTTTTGCTTGTTCCAACAACACAGTTCATCTCCCAAACACTAATGATTTGTTTTCTTTGTAAGATTGTACTTTTGAATATGATCATTCTCATTATTATTCAACTAAAATCTTGAAAAGATTTTCTCAATCAAATTCATAAGAAAATTCTAATTAGGCCTATTTATTTTCTAGTTAACATATGATATGTCAGTAGGTAGCATGTTTACATCATGCTAACACAATCTTTGACTAAGTATAGAACAAGAAATTCCATTTCCATTAATTAAAATAAACGTATTTGGATTGAGCCACCAATGAACACGGATGTGAATTACTGATTTCTGTTGAATACGCCAACATTTATACCAAGCCATACTGTAAGCACAAAAACTAGTTTTCAATTTTAGACTGGAGCATACTATACAGTAGACTCCCTCTTATCTGGACTCCTCGGGACCGAGGCCAGTCCGGATAATGGTTTTTCCGGTTAAACCGACGTCCCCAAAATCTCATTAACCCTTTTGCTGCCGACGAGCGCAAATGCGCACGTCGGGGTTTGTGCTAAAATGGCCGACGTGCGCAATAACGCTCGTTGGCTATCAGGCGAAAATTGCCGACGTGCGTTATAAAGCACGTCAATGTTTTCTAACTTACCTTATATGCTTGGCCTTATATGCTTTCCAAACCCTTCCAAATTCGACTCGGATTATTTGCAGACTATAACGAAGCTGTTTGCAGACGATTTTATACGGTATGAGACTATAACCAACGAAGTTACATAGTTTGAGTTTGCTCTTGGTCTGTGCGTTGCTGATTACTTCTCTACTGTGTCTAGATCGTTTGTCATCTGTGTTTAGTTGAGTTTTGCGAATGGAAAGGTGTTTGTTATTGTTTGTGTTTACTAGTGGACTAGTGCTATAAAAGTAATGTTGTGATGAAGGTAAGGGCATGAAAGTTTGTTTGTGTAATAACTTATGCATGCTCTACAAACTAAAATAATAACATTTATGCATGTGTTTGGTTAGTTTGAGTTTTAGTAAAAATGAGTAATAGACGAGTTAGGTCACCGGTGAGTGAAAATACAATAATAAACAACCTATTGGGTGACGGTGTGAATGTTGACGATGGTGATGTGAGTGATAGTTTTGTAGACAATATTTCTGAGTCGAGCTCAGAACCCAGTTCAGATTCTGAAAGTGAAGGATTAGGTCCAGAATTTGAGGACGATACGGACGAAGACCCTGATTACATAGTAAATTCAGACCCCTCTGACGACTCAGAAGATGAAATCCCCCAACCTAGACATAGGCCTAGGCCTACTCCCACTGCTGATGTCCACAGTACAGTCGACGAAGTTATTGACGATGTTGTAAACAACTTCACAATTCCAGAAGGTGATGTAATGGAAATGGAAGATGTACTTTATGCTAATCTAAATGACCCTGACGCTGATGAACATCTTGGATGGGATCCCCTTGATGAAGGTAACGATCCTGGTTTTGACCACACTTTTCCTTTTGACGAATTGCCTGGGCCAAAACATTGTCCCCCACATGATGCACCTCCAATATCGTACTTTAATTTATTTTTTACTGTAAATCTCCTGAATTCTTTTGTGCTAAGAACCAACCAGTATGCCAGGGACTACATCACTGCACATATACATAACTTGACTCCAAATTCACGTGCCAGGGATTGGAAAAATGTCACCCTGCCGGAAATGAAGGCCTTCATTGCCACAATTTTGATTATGGGTCTTGTAAGAAAGCCAACTATTCAAAGCTATTGGTCGACAAAATCATCACTTCAAACACCTTGGTTTGGAAAAATGTTTAGTAGGAACAGGTTTGAGTGTCTATTGCAATTTTTTCACATAGTCGACAATAGCACTTTGGCTAAACCAGGTGATCCAAATTATGACCCCTGTGCTAAATTTAACCCCCTATTGGATCATGCAAACAGGATTTTTAGGACTTATTACACCCCTCATCGTGAGATATCAATTGACGAAAGCCTGGTTGGCACTAAGAGTCATTCACAAATTATGCAATACCTGCCCAACAAGCACCACCATCGTTGGGGCATCAAAATGTGGATGTTGTGTGACTCTGTCTCCAGGTATTGTTTGGCTTTTTTTTTGCTACAAAGGAAATAAGAACAAGAGAAAATCAACTGGCCTTGCATTCAAAGTTGTCACCAAGCTTTTAGAGATAGGTCAGTATTTGCGAAAAGACTACCATCTCTTCCTTGACAATTTTTTTACGAGCATCCCTCTGGCGAACCACCTTTACGAAAACCAAACCTACATGACTGGCACAATTAGGAAAAATAGAAAAGGAATACCTCCACAGCTGAAAGAAAAGTTTGCTGTTGGCCAGAAGACGTATTTGCGGAAGGAGAACACGCCTTTTTTGGGATATCGAGAAAAAGCTTCTCAAAAGAAACCAGTGCTTTTACTCTCTACAAAAGCATCTGCAAAGTCAGTGGAAGTAAGAAGTAGGAAAAGACATGAAGAAAACCCAAAAGTGAGACCTGAAATTATAGATACTTACAATATGTATATGGGGGGGATTGATGGCTCAGACCAAATGCTCTACTGTTATTTAGATGAGCGCAGAACTGTCAAGTACTGGAAGAAGGTTGTGTTTAATATATTTGGCAGGATGATTCTCAACTCGTATATCATTTACAAGGAAAATTGTTCTGGTAAATTACTGTCAAGATTTAACTATACCAACTCCATAATTGAAGAGCTCTCTACTGATTGGCTAATGCTGAAGAACCAGCCACATGTTGCTGAGGTGGGCGGTGGCGGAGACGCTGGACAAGCTTCTGGATTCGGCCTAGAATCTCTACCCGGAAGAATGTTAAGAAATTGTTCTGTGTGTAGCCTACAAAGTACAAGTGCAGGAGGGACCAGGAAGAGGAGCAGGACTGTTTGCAAGAGATGCAAGAAAGGGGTTCATCCTACATGTTTCGGTGAACACAAATGCCAATGATCGGAACTTTTTCATTTGTAAATATTGTAAATATTCTTTTAAATTTATTTGTAGGCTACATAAGTTTTTTTTCCATTATTTCAGCTCTCTAGCAATGTACATTATTGTGAATTACAAAACATTTAGGCCACTTGTGTATATATGATCATGAACAAACTCTTACTAAAGTGTTTTCACCTAAACGTGTAAACTTTTTATTTGACGAAATTTCGAAAAAAAATCACAACTTCTACAATTTTCAAGGTAAGGGCATGAAAGTTTGTTTATGTAATAACCTATGCATGCTCTACAAACTAAAATAATTACATTTATGCATGTGTTTGTTTTAGGTATAGTTTTTATACGCCAAACCTAAAAAATAAAATATAAAAAAAATTTTGACTATATAAATTTATGTTCAAAAAAAATTTTTTTTTTCCTAAAATATTTATTATATGTTTTTATGAAGACTGGTTGTTTATTAGAAACAAAACAAGGCCTTATTTATCAAATTCTGATGGAAAATAAAAAAAATACACAAGTTTTTGTGAAATACTGAATTTTCCTCAAATCAGGCCTGGCAGTCTTCGCATATTAGCCTTACCTTAGACCCGGCATTTTTCAAGTAACATATAAAAAACCGGTTGGCAGTAAAAGGGTTAAAACGGACTGTTTAAATGCATACTCATACAGTATTTGACTTAAATTAGGAGAGCATTGTATTTAGACACATAATCACTGGTCTCAAATCTTTCCCACGAGAACATTCGTTTCAGTACCGCCCACTTCCTGCCGATCTAGTCCGGTTAAACCGATGTGCTGATAAAAATTATCCGCATAAAGAGATGTTACTTCTACCGAGTGTGGTCCAGTTAAACCAATGTCCGGTTAAAAGGTGTCCGGATAAGAGGGAGTCTACTGTAGTAAGGGTTCTCAAGCTTTTTTGCTCCACGTCTCCTTTAGAATCCTGAATTTTCTTCCCGCCCTATGCCCCCACTCACCATATTAAGCTTAAATCATATTTAATTGTAGGATTATAATCCCTGAGTGTAATCAATTATCTGTGCCGGTACTCTATTGATACATTTTTTAAAGTTTTTTAATATGGACTAGAGCTACTACTAGGCTACTCTACTAATTTGAAGTACAGCCCCGTGGTCAAAAACTAGCTGTCATAAGTTTTGCAAAAGTGTTTTAATATATAAGATTAAATCCCAAATTAATTTGATATTAGTTTTGCTTTATTTTTATTTATTATTTTTCTAGGTGCCCTCACACCTTGAAATCCTTCTACGCCTATAAGGCTTGAGAACTACTGCTCTATAGGCTTGTCAACTATGTTCTTTTTAAATAAACGATAGGCTACAGCTGATCTATATAGATATGATGCTAGGCCTACTTCAGTATCCTAAAGTCAATGATATTGTGTAAGCATTTATTTTTCTCCTTAAAGGTACATAATCTTTAAATTAGGAAATAATTTTAAAAAAAGTCACAACAACTCTACAGAAAGAGTAAGTATTTCGTGTTTTTTGAAAAAGACATTATTGCCACACTACAATGTAAGCAGGTGTTGTTTTTTAAAAGGGGATCAGTTAAGCCAACTGAAGTACAAATTAGTATCAATTACTCTTAAACGTTTTTTTTTCTTTTCGAAATAACTTATGAGATCTTTTGATAGGCTTTCAACAAAGCCAAACGATATATCAATACAGGTTTTGACTAGCACATTGCACATTCACAAATAAATCTAGGAATGGTTTAAAAATTTTAAATTTCAAAAACTGTTTTAATTGTGTTGAAGTGTTGTGATAAAACATTGTAGCTTACTGTATATTAAGCCTGTGTTGTGATTGTATGTATTGTTTGGATACTTCTTACCTCCAATATTTGTTGCTGGTAGTGTGGTGAAAAGTATCATATGCGACTCATCCGGGTACATGTTTGGGGTACTGGCATAAAGCCTGCGCTTGACAAGCCTAACATAGAAACTATCACGCTTGTACCGTAAACACATACTTGTCAGATGTAGCACAGTACTTTTTCTTCAGCTTTTGTTTAAAGATATTTTTGTAGATTTTCCTAATCATGGCAATCTTTGGAAAAAGGCTGTTCTAAATACGATGTACCGCTACTTGTAATTTTAATGTTAGTGACAGAGTATGAACAGTGAGTGGGTGGACCCAGAGAGGCTTTTGGTAGAAGTAAAATGCTTTAATCTTGAACTGTCTAAAATAAGACTTTGAATTTTTAATTTTTATAAAATATGATTATAAAATATAATTTTACATTTTTTAAATGCACTTTTGCCAATATTTCCTTTATTATTAGTATGTCTTTTTGTAGTCTTTTCAATTGAGCTCACTATTAATATTTAGTTAGCAAAAGCTTGGTTTGAACCAAAGTTTTGGCAGATATTCTGTTTTGGTTTACATTTTTTGAAAGCACCTGACACTTTTCTCTCTTGTATCCAGGTGGGGAAAGGCGAACTGTCTAGTTCCACAATCCTACAGTTTATCACAGTGTTTGCCAAGGTCATGGCGAATTTGAAAGACGGCCGAATGATTTCCCAGATCATGAGATATGTTTTCTTGCACCTCATTCGTCAAACAGAACTGGGAATCGAACATCATATGAAGGAACAGGCCTGGAAGGAGGTATGTAAAAGTAGCCTATATACTCACGATAGAGCAATAATATATACAGACTAAATTATCTGTTTTCGAAAATGTTCAAACAGTTATGGTTAAACAACTAAATCCTAATTCAATGAGCTAGGTTGGCTTTTCTTCGAATGGAGCAATATTGTAAATTTTTGTTTGCAAAAACCTTAAGAAATTTTCTACGATCACAATGAGTTATTCACTGCTTTAGTTACCTTCAAAAAGTCCCGACTCAGCTATTCAAATACACTTTGATTAAGATTTTTAAAAAATTGCTATTTAAACACGGCCAAAGCTAAAAACTGTGTTGAGTTATGAATATGCTCAATATATTTTAATGTGCTGCTTTGTTGCTTGCTACCAGTGGCGGCATTTCCATAAGGGCCAAGTGAGCCGGGCCCACCCAAAATAAACACTAAAGTATATTTTTAAATTCTTAATGGGTTATTTGGTTAATATTATTCAATAAACTGAGATTTAAATTAATTTTGAACTTTAAAGGGTCATAACTTTTGTTGAAATACAATGCAATCATCTCGTAACACATTGGAGAGCCACGGATTTCAAGCCCTTCTAGCCACCATAAGAACGTAAGACAAGGCAACGCCAGCCGGCGGCGCTTGACTATCAGGACTATCAGGGACCAATGCATTGGTATATGGAGCAGAAGGGCTGATTTGAGCTGGCCCAATGGACGTTGATTCTCAATATTATCGCTGGGCGTGCTGAGCGCTAGTGTAGCTTTAAATGTTTACATCTCAATTCCCGCCGCCCGTGTATGTTATACACCAACCTGCAAATGGGTTGTATTGTAGTTGTATGAAATATTTTATGAACTAATAAGTTAACACTTTTAGTTAGTTTCGTGATATTATTACAGTATGTAGCCATACTACGATTTTGTGGGTTTTAGTGATCATTTAAATGTAAAGGCGTGATGGTGTGGTGATGTTATTGTGAAGTGGGTGTTCGTGGTTCAAATGGGGTTAGGCCTACTTCAACGGTACTGCAATCTTCAGAGTTGTGAGTAATTATTAAAAAATGCAGTTCTTGCCATAATTTAAATTGTACATTTTCAGACTAATTGTATGTTTGTAGATAGATAGTTTTGAGCAGGCCAATCAATGCCTATTAGTTTTTAATTATTTAGCCTAATTTCAATAACATGTTTAGTAGAGGAGTAGGGTAGACGTAGAGTAGACATAAGAGAAACACTAGACCTACTAAGTAAATTACTTAAAATAGTCTACTAAATTAATAGAATTATTTATAGTTTCAGCAAAATATTAGTTATATTTTAATATTATCATAGATAAAACATACTCCCTTAGTAGATTTCTCATCCTTATGGAACAGCTGAAGACAATTTTATTGTTCATGTACGGTTTATGTAGAGGTCGTGTTTTGTTTACAATTTGTTTCCCGTTATTACAGCCATTTAAAACCTCGTTTAACCAAATAATACGATCTAATCATAAACAATAACTTGTGCCCTAGTTATATAACCAAAAAGTAAAGCACAAATCAAGAAATTAACCCTAAAATAATGGAAACAAAGTTTCATCGACACTAGCGCCTTTGTGTCACGTACATGAACTAGACACGAAAAACGTGCTTCAAAATTTACAATGGGGTGAGAAGTCTACTTGTGTTGGTTAGTCTATGATATTATTAACTCACAGTTGTGATGATTGACACACGGTGGTAGGCCTAACTTAATTTTGTTTAATTTTAGCTTTTGAAAATGAATCAAGTGGATAATTGTTTAACATTAAACTTTTCTAACCTAGCTCTTGAGGAAAAATTAGCAATTAAAAAGCTAGGATCTCACCAACCTAAAGGCTTTACATTTTCTCAAGAAGATGGTCCTAAGAAAATTAGAACATTTTGCACTTCTTGGTTTGAGAAAAAACCTTGGCTTACGGAAAGTATGAGCAAAGGGAGTCTGTTTTGTTTTTATTGAGCGAAGCTCACTTTCCCTCACTTTGTAACTTCTTTGTAAGAGCATCAGAATGTAATGGCTTGACCAATTGATATGAAATTTGGCCAACAGCTAAAAAATACTGAGCAAAATGTTTTGGTAAAAAATATTTGCAAATTTCCTTCTGGATTTTATTTTACGGGTCTCACAATTTCACTTGTTATTTTAATGTAAGTTGAAAGAAAAATTATATTGGGTTTATGACATATGGGTTTATCTCGTTTCATTTAAATAAGATAAACATATGTTAATTGTTTGTAATTGTTATGTTTACATTTCAATGTTTACTTTCATCCTAGGTTAAAGTTGGAATGTAACAGTTTATCAATGGAAGTAACAGTTATGCTATATTTGTTTTGAGCATGCCTCAAAGGCCACGTCGTAATATCGGTCGTCGCACCAATAATGCAAATATTGTAAGAGAGTGGCGTCGTGAACAAGAAGAACCAGATGAAGCAGTGGCGGAAGAAGCTGATAATGATGGCAGTTAGCTAATCATTTCCAATATGAATTAGATGCACTAAAATTTTACACTCACACTAACTGTCATCGCCAACAACTAACAGCTTCAAACCAATCACCGATTTGTTCGCGTTGTCGTTCAAATGCAACTAAATTCGCGGCGTTAAATAATATGGATGTGTCAAGTGTCCCAAACGAATTAACTGATCTGACGATTGTAAAACAAATGTTGATTGCACGAGTACATCCCGCTATGTGCATTTACAAAGTACAAGCAAATGGTCAGGATGGCCAGTTTCACTACAAAGGTAACATCAATAATGTTGAGCAAGATATTAATGAAATAGCATCTGTCTTACCTACACTGCCCGAAAACTTAAGTCATCATTGTCCAACGTCAAGGCGTCTTTGGCCATATCGATTTCAAAGTTCGACGTGAAAAACTACAGTAAGCACTTATTTGGCTGAAGGCAAATAACCCATTCTATTTTGACATAACCATTAAGGCCGGTCTACACGCAAGGATTTCGCGAACGTTTTATCTGCGCAGGTAAAACGTTGCAGTCAAGTCGTTGCAAAGAAATGCGTCCACACGGTACAGGTTTCAGCACCAACTTTAATAGTGCAGTTTTGTGATAACTTTCAGTGTATGTGCATGTAATATCATGGAAGATGTGTTTCTGCTGGCAATTTCTGCAGCCAGTGTTACAAGTAAGCAAAGAAATAAGTCTGAGAGACGACGGCGCTCGTATGGTCAAGACGTTGGTTACTAAAAAGACAACAAACTTCATAATAGTTTCTCTGTTCACGTTTGAATCTACTGCTTTGTATTTTTCAAAAGAATCTAAGTCTTTTTTCTTATCACAGTCACTATATTCCTTACTCTTGACCCTCCATAAATTAAGGTCACTTCTGGACAGTTCGATGAATTCAACAATAAAATCACGGGAACATTGGCGAAGATCTGCGATCGTAATTAAAAATACCCCCGCCGCAGCAAACCTGCCGTCTAAGCGAATTTCCATTTGGCCGAATTGATTTTCAATTGATCTATTTAAATAACATTAGGTTTAACGAGTACCTAGGTTTGCTGCTACAAGGAAACTAATAAAGTAGTGTGTTTTTAGTAAAATATTGATAGCTTACTATAAAATAAATAAATTTGCCAAGTTTAATCAAAATATATCCATAAACAAGCAAACTACAACATTTTACAATATTCTCCATAAGAATAACATGGGAATTTTAAATTTACCATTTTTTTAGTTTTCTCCGTAACCAATAACCGTACAAAAACACTTTGATATACTGAATTGTTTGTTTTTTTAAGCTCTTTAAGAAGGTTTAGAGAAAAATTGGGAAATTTAGTGTTTTGAGGGTAAGAAGTGAGAAAACCCAATTTTTACCCCATAAAACCCCCCATAAAACCCTGTTCCCATGGTCCGATCATGCTGGATCGCGAACTCATTCAAGTTTATCCCGCCTTACACCTTCAAACCAAATTTCATCAAAATCGGATAAAAATTACTCAAGTTATCGTGTTCACGGACACATATATCTAATATATAAAATTCTCGTGTCACAGTGTTTGTCTGCAAACTCCTCCGAAACGACTTCACCGATCGTTATGAAATTTGGTGTGTAAATTCTGTAGGTATGCGAATAGGAAGTAAACTATTTCCCGTTTCGAAATTCTTAAAAGGGCTCCGCCCCAGTGGCTCTGGAGTTTCCCATGTTAACCTTATGAGAAATGGAATTAATGAATCTTAACAGCTGTTTCAATTAAACAAGTTGGTTCTGTTCTATGATGTTCAATAGCATTAAAGTTACAAGGATTACCAACAGGGTGCAGCACTATTATTTCTTTTACATTTATCACAACAGCAAATTTGCAACCAAAAGGTGAGTGAGCGTAGCGAACGAACTTCAACCTGGAGGCGAGTTAGCGTAGCGAACGAACTTCAACCTGGAGGCGAGTTAGCGTAGCGAACGAACTTCAACCTGGAGGCGAGTTAGCGTAGCGAACGAACTTCAACCTGGAGGCGAGTTAGCGTAGCGAACGAGCTAACCTGAAGGCAAGTGAGCGCAGCGAACGAGCTCCAACCTAAAGGTGAGTGAGCGTAGCGAACGAGCTCCAACCTGGAGGCGAGTTAGCGTAGCGAACGAGCTAACCTGAAGGCAAGTGAGCGCAGCGAATGAGCTCCAACCTAAAGGTGAGTGAGCGTAGCGAACGAGCTCCAACCCAAAGGTGAGTGAGCGTAGCGAACGAACTTCAACCAGGACGTGATTGAGCGATGCGAACGAGATCATCTTGAAAATTAAACGTAACGGTACTTAAATTATAAATAGTCAAAGGCAAGACAACGTCTGCCGGGTCGGTCTGTCTTAGGGGAAACCTATAACCATTGACTATATAACACTACCAGTAGTGTTTCAGTAGTGTTATATAGTCAATGCTATAACTTAGGCGATACGAAGTTCGCCGGGTCAGCTAGTATATATATAAATCTATATACAGGGTGAGTTTTAATTGTCCCCCCCCCAACTTTTTTCTACATTTTTTTCAAATATCAATCCCAGACCACTTCCAAACATTGTTGGGTAGTAAGTACTTCATTTTGACAAGGTGGCCATTTCCGGCCGCCATCTTGGATCTGCCATATTGGATGCAACATTTTTTTTTTCAAATGTAAAGGTGGGGTTGTGACCCATTATTTCGAACTACATTTTTACCCTAATTACAATGCCGCAAACCGTTTAAAAAAATCTTGATTGATTCTAAAGTTATGAGGGCTTTTTAAAACTTTATTTTTAGCCCATTTTAACATTGTGCATTTACAAACTAAGACCATAATCTCAAAATAGTGCTAGATAAAGATAAGTATACACTACCAGTAATTGTCGACCGATTTTCACTTGGTTATGACAGATGTATTTTTTTCGGCCGCCATCTTGAATCCGCCATTTTGAAATGTGATAAATTATTTTAAATATGAAGGGGGTGTTGTGACCCATCATTTCGAACTACTTTTTTAAGCTGAAGACAATGCCGCAATCCATTTTTTGTTATCAAGTTTTATTTATGAAATATTGAAATTTTTTTGTTAAAAATGTCAATATTTCAAAATCAAAAAATGAAAATGAAAAACGGATCATGGAATTAAGTTCAGCTTAAAAAAGTAGTTCGAAATGATGGGTCACAACGCCCCCTTCATATTTAAAATAATTTATCACATTTCAAAATGGCGGATCCAAGATGGCGGCCGAAAAAAATACATCAGTCATAACCAAGTGAAAATAGGTCGACAATTACTGGTAGTGTATACTTATCTTTATCTAGCACTATTTTGAGATTATGGTCTTAGTTTGTAAATGCACAATGTTAAAATGGGCTAAAAATAAAGTTTTAAAAAGCCCTCATAACTTTAGAGTGAATAAAGATTTTTTAAAACGGTTTGCGGCATTGTAATCAGGGTAAAAATGTAGTTCGAAATAATGGGTCACAACCCCACCTTTACATTTGAAAAAAAAATTTTGCATCCAATATGGCGGATCCAAGATGGCGGCCGGAAATGGCCACCTTGTCAAAATGAAGTACTTACTACCCAACAATGTTTGGAAGTGGTCTGGGATTGATATTTGAAAAAATGTAGAAAAAAATTGGGGGGGGGGGACAATTAAAACTCACCCTGTATATATATCTATATATATATACATATATAAAAATTTGAACGAATGGTGTTTTTGGCCTCTGGGGACATTAAAATGAAAAAGTAAATCAGTCCCGGGCCTAAGTCTTACCATGAGACCTACGGTAATAGCTACTTCCCTATAGGGAAATTCGCTAAAACACACTTATACCTCTGACAGCATGTGAAGACAACACTGCATACTGGGGTTTTGAGCGTGAAGACGGAGTTGAAACGGATGACAGTGTCCACACGCAACGACTTGCCTGAAAACGTTGTCAAAACTATGCTCCCCGCAATAGTTTTATCGCTCCGTCTTCCGTCTCCGCGCAGTTCTCAAAAATGCACAGTTTTGCGGTACACACGCAACGATTTGACTGCAACGATTTACTTGCGCAGGTAAAACGTAAGGTAAATCCTTGCGTGTAGACCGGCCTTTAGTGATGAAGCGCTACACCAACTACCAGTCAATGATTTTGTTCACATACTATCAGAAACCAGAAACATTTATTGCCGAAAACATTACAAAAATGTATAGGCCATCGTCAGGTACAATTTATAGCAAACATGAATTGCTTGTCTTAAGAAAACAACCATTATCAATAAGAAGCAGTCTTTAAATCGTAAAGCTGGTTTGAGGTCATCTTCTGTCTTGCTTCTTAGCAAAAGTTATTGTGTATCCATGGGTATTCCATAACCCTCTGAATGATCCCACCCCGCTATGTCCCACCATAGGGCCACCCTACTGTTCAATTAAAGCGCTGCCACTGCTTGCTACCCGCTTAGTACTATTCTTCTGCTTACCCGACTGTTCCGTTGGTGATAAATTACAGATCAAAACCATTTTGAATGTCTGATCTCTTCGACCCACCTAAGTGGCTTCTGTGAACCATAGTTTGGGAACGACTGAGATGAATGCCCTAGTCCTGTCCAGTGCCTGACTAGATCAAAATATGTTACTTTTTGCAATGTCCTTATGTTATAACCCTTTATTGAGGTTGTGTTATATTGATGCTAGATAAAATACATTTTAAAACAAATTATTTTTATTAATCTGCTGTAGGCCTACACTCACAGAATATGGCTTAGTCAGTAACAAAACAAAGCTACACAAGGCATCTCACTATTCTACACTTATCTCTCACTCCTATTTTTGGGTGAAGATATGCATATAGGTGATGTCCCCATCTCAAACGATATTGATGATGATATTAATGATAGTTCTATTATTTTCATTCAAATTCATTTATCTTGAAATTATCTTAACGCAATTTATCAGCAGAGCTTTAAAAGCAAACTAAACATTTTTACTAAATACTGCATAATGTGAAGTAAACATTGTTTGCTTTTAGACTATTGTGTTAGGTATTGTACAATTAAATCATATGTAGTAATCGCTTCCAAAATAATGAACGTCGGCACTGATAAAAATATAAAATAACTAATTAACATTTTACAGTATGGGTTTCCTGGAGGCGATGTGGATGCAGCAGAAAAGATAGAAGCGGATTCTGATGAAGAAGTGGAAGAGGAAAGTGAAGATGGAGAAGAGTGGGAGGAAGAGAGAGAAGTGGCACAAGATGCTAGAGCAGGCAGAGTAGACGTGCTGCTACCTCCGCTGGACTTTGATATCAGGGATTTGTTAGAAGTGCTGCGAGAACTCAGAAACATGAAAGAGACGACGACCAAGGCCAGGAAAACACTCATACAACTTATAGCCAAGTGAGTCCGATGGGAAGGCTTTAATTAAAATGTGGTCAGCATTTGGAGAGAATTAAATGTTTTTTAAATACTGTCAAAAGTAGATCACTCTAAATAACTGTGATTACTTTTAATTTTAAATGTTTTGTGGCGGTAACTATTTAGGTGTGATAGGCTTATCTGTCCGACAAAAATAGATGAAAATGCACAAATTTACCATAAATTAGAGGAACAACAAAAACAAGGCACTCCACTACTGAGAAAGCTAGCTCTTATTTTCTTTGTGTTGATGTGTTTGTTTGTGGATTATCATCTATTTTCGTCAGTATAGTACAATAGCTTTACAAATATCAAGAGCAAAGCTTGGAAGGTTTAAGTCCCATTCTCAGAACCATTCTGACTAATGACATTGATTTAAAATTATTCCTATTATAATTATCTGTCCATTAAAAGCTGTATTGTATTATTAAAAGAAGGAATGTTAAATACATAACAATTCTGGCTCTTTTTCATGCAATTCTTTTCCATTTTTGCATGAGAATGCTGCAGCTATAATTGGTGTCAATAGTCAAATATACTGGGATCTGAAGAAATGATAAATATTAAAATGCTTTTTACGAGGGCTATTCAGAAAGTAAGGAATGTTTCGTTCTGACGCCGCTAGTTGCACACCGACCTCGTACATTTTGGTGCGTGCACACTCGGCAACTCAGCCAGCGTCCAGCCGTGGCAATGGGAAAATCCTTGCCCTGTCTGTTTTTTTCGCAATTTCCAACTTAGGATGTGTGCTGCGATTGAAAATACCGCCACTTGTGAGGTGCGTTCAGTGATACGGTTTATGTTGGCAAAAAACTTAAAACCAATAATAGACATTTGTCGCCAAGAAGTGTGTGAAGTTTACAGAAACAACTTAATGAATGAAAGTTGGCCGAACTGACATTCATGAGTCATGATGAAGAGAAGAGCGGACACCCGAGCATAGTGACTTATGAAACTGGTAGCTAAAGTTGATGAAAATGTTCGCAAAAATCGCCGATTCAACATAACAGAGCTTTTGCTTTATTGTGTGACAGTTTCAAACAACAAAAACTGGGAAACTTGAGGTAAACAAAGCGCAAACTCCGTTATACTAAATCGGCGGTTATTCCCGTTGTTACGGCTGGATGCCGACTGAGTTGCTGAGTGTGCATGCACCAGAATGTAGAAAATTAGCGCGCGCCTAGCGGTGTCATAACGAAACGTTACTTAATTTCTGAATAGCCCTCATAATAATAAATTTTTCAATACCATATTGATATTGTAAATCTATGGTCTTGTCGTCTTGGCTGATAAAATTATAAACAGGCCAACAAATATACACCTGTGAAATAACATGCCGTTTTTAATTTTTTACAGATATGAAAATTTGGCAGCAGGAAAATACCCTCTTGGAATTCACAAGGTAGATTTACCTAATAAAGTAGATAAAAAGAAGGAAATAACTCAAGCAGCTAAAAGGTTATTGATGGAGGAAGAGAAACGCCGAAGAGAAGAAGATGATGATGTAGAAACTGGTTTAAGCAAGAGAAAAAGTAAAAAACTGAAAGTGTTGAAGGAGAAAACATCATTTTGGAAAGTTTCAGAGTCAAATGAAAGTGCTGATAACTCTTTGTCGGAGACGAACACATCTTGGGAAGTTAGTGAATCAGAGAGTAAATCAACTAAAACAAAAAAAACGCAAAACAAGAGAAAGCTCAAAGAAGAAAGTAATGGAAACTCTAGTGAACATATGAAAAAATTAAAGATTTCACAGTTTTCTGTCACCGAAAGTAAAGATAATTCTATCAAGTCTACTGAAACAAGTACTCCAAAGGCAAAAAATGTGAACCTGAATAATTCTGAGTTTTCAGTGAGTGACTGTAAAATAATTACTCCTAAATCATCGGAAAAAAAGACGCTGAAAAAGAGTACACCTAAATTCACAGCCAAGTCTCCTAAAACGAGTACTCCAAAGGCCGAAAACGCAAACCTTGATAATTCTCAGTTATTAGTTAATGACTGTAAAATAATTACTCCTAAAACGTCAAAACAAAAGACGCCAAAAACGAGTACACCTCATATCACAACCACTTCTGAAAATATCACACCACACGTGGAAGAAATTAAGACACCTCTAACAAGGAAGGATAAGAATAAAACTAAGAGAAATAAAAGATTGAAAAATTCATCTACCGACATTCCAACAGAAGAAATTCAGAGTCCAGAAATCGATAGTACTACCAATAATTCTGAAATGGCAAACGGTGAGAGTAGAATCTCAGCAGAAACCTCAAGTCTCCAGCTAAACACTTCGACAACAGACAAAAACAACGGATGGGGAGGAGAATGGGAGGACAAACCGCAGGATGTTGAGTACGAGATATTTATACCTAACAAGAAGTATGTAGAAAAAAGAAAATCCCTTGGACTCCCGTTCCCTGTCTCGTCATTTGTCCAAAAATCTGCTGAGAAAGTAACACCAGTCAATAAATCAAAGGTAAAACCTTTGAATCTTCATGTTTGTTAGCCAATATAATGAAATACAAAATAATTACATTTTTTTACATCCTTTTTCCTATAAAACAAAAGGAAAATAATTATTGATCAGTTAGTAGTCCTTGTATATTTGACAGTTATTGTAGTATATGCAGTCGTATTTTTTTAGCTAAAAACTTAAACTATTATAACACCTGTTTTGTGTCACAAATGACAAATTAACTGTTTTGGGTCACAGGTACAAAAGTTAACATTAAATATTTCTGCTGTAAATTGTAAGTTAATTTTACCAAGTAAGGTTTGAAATTGGTTATTTACACTTGCAATTATTTTGTTTTCTCCTAGTCCTAATGCTGTTCTACTTTTCAGAGGATACAACAAAACCAATCTGCAACTCCTGGGAGTCAGAAGAAAGTTGAATTCAATCTGAGTGCCAACCGAGCCCAAGGTATGCTTTGTCAATACATACTGACATTTTATTTTTAGTGAATTTCCCATATAAGAAATAAGCTACCACAAGTCTCAAGGTAAGACCTGGACTCAGGACCGATTTGATTTTTTGTTTTGATGTCCCCAGATGCCAAAAACACCATCCTTTCAAATTCATATATAGCCTATGTCCGTTAGCTCTTTGACACAAAAACGTGTAGGTCCTAAGCCTTCATTTATTATTATTATTTGAACGAGTTCCCGAACCAGTCTGACCGGTCCATGGGAATGGATGGGGTAAAAATTGGGTTCCCACTTTTAAATATCAAACAAAGATTTAGATTCCCAATTTCGCTATTAATCATTATATTAAAGTGTTTTTGTACGATTATTGGTTATTGCAAAAATAAAAATAAAATTAAAATTCTCATGCTACTTTTATAGTAAGTAAGTAAAACTGTTGTAGTTTGCTTGTTTATAAATTTATTTTGATCAAATTTGGCAAATTTATTTTATACTAAGCTATTAACATTTTAGTAAAAAACACACTTTATATTATATTTATAGAATTGTTTAACCTCCTTGTAGCAGCAAACCTAGGTACTCATTAAAATCTATTTTTTTAGATTGATTTAAGTGAAAATCCAATCAGGCAAATGGAAATTTGCTTGGTCTGCAGGTTTGTTGCGGCAAGGTACCTATTTGTAGATCTCTACAGCTCACAGTATTTTTCACCTAGTTTAATACCTACCTACTTTTAATTTTTTTGTCATCCCCTTGTCTTTAAGCACTGATTGATTGTGCCTTGGTCATTCCCAATGTCTTGCTTCACTACACAGCAAGCCGTATTTTTTGTTAACCAGAACGTCATTCTTTACAGGAAGGGATCGGTAAAATCAGCTGGAGTGTGGTAAATTTTCTAATGCCTTTCACTTTAGTAGGCTAAACTAATTTAAACACAATAAATATGAAACAGATTGGAACTAATATATTGCTCTTTCACAATTAATATTGGAAAGTTTTAAAACCACCTTTTTAAAGCTCAAAATTCTTTTACCTAACCCGCCATGTTAAACTTCCCAAGCGTGATGTATACAACTTCTTTACTTCACAAGTGAAGTAAAGTTTCAAAAACTCACTCGGTTAAGTAATGAAACCTATTTTAAATAACATTGAGTGCACAACTTAAAAAAATATACCTCTATGGGGCCAATGACGTCCAATGCTGGAAATCATCTGAGCGTTTGAATTTTATTGTTGAGTAAAAATAAAAATTTAAATACCCCCGCCGCAGCAAACCTGCCGACTAAGCGAATTTCCATTTGTCTGAATAGATTTTCAGTTAAATATATTTTAATAACATTAGGTTTAACGAGTACCTAGGTTTGCTGCTACAAGGAAACTAATAAAGTGTGTTTTTGAGTAAAATATTGATAGCTTAGTACAAAATAAATAAGTTTGCCAAGTTTGATCAAAATATATCCATAAACAAGCAAACTACAACATTTGACAATATTCTCCATAAGAATAACATGGGAATTTTAAATTTACAATTTTTTTAATTTTCTCCGTTACTAATAATTGAACAAAAATACTTTTATATACTAAATTATTTGTTTTTTAAGCTCTTTAAAAAGGTCTAAAGAGAAATCGGGAAATTTTGTGTTTTGAGGGTCAAAAGTGAGAAAAACCAATTTTTACCCCATAAAACCCCCCGTAAAGCATCGTTCCCATGGTCCGATCGTGCTGGTTCGCGAACTCATTCAAGTTTATCCCACTTTACACCTTTAAACCAAATTTCATCAAAATCGGACAAAAATTACTCAAGTTATCGCGTTCACGGACGTATATATATATATATATATATATATAAGTCTATATATATATATATATATACATATATACAAATTTGAACGAATGGTGTTTTTGGCCTCTGGGGACATCAAAATGAAAAAGTAAATCGGTCCCGGGTCTAGGTCTTACCGTGCCACCTACGGTAATAGCTACTTCCCTATAGGGAAATTCGCTAAAACGTACGTTTTCAGGAAAAGCACTTTGCAAATTTTTTCCCCTTTTTTCAAAACTTTTATTATTATTTTTATTTCATTAACATTTGAAGTTTCATAAAATGTCCATGGTAACGCAATATCTTTGGTATTTTTTTTTTTTAAAGAGCATCTTTAGTGGAAAAACACAAAATCCTGTCACGACCATAACAGACGTTTAAATGAATATTAAAAATAGTTAATATTATTTTTATAACTATGTTTTGCTATAAACTAATTTACTTTTATGACCATTATACAATAAAAAGGTCACTGAGCTTTTGGTATATTTGGTCTTTCTAGAAAAAAATAAAAAAAACTCAAAAAATTGAAAAAAAGCCAATAAAATCTTTTTAAGTTTGTATAACTCCGAAAAAACTTACCTGAGACCCGAAAAATCGTTATGTTTGTATAGACGTGTGCTTCTTTTGTTTATAAAACATTGAAATATGACGATATTTTAATTTTTGAAATTTTTATGATAGAAATCATGTACGTGATGGTCAGGGACAAGCGGTACGGTCGTGAATTTTCTGAAATAATCTAAATCTTTCTAAACAATCCTTCAATTATACTGTTAGTTATAATAAAAATAAGTGTTTCAATTGAACTAAACTGTTCAAATTACAATTATATTAAAGTTATTGTCACGACCAAACACACTATAATCCATAAGGCTGGATTGGTCGTGAAAAAACCTGCGATGGTCGTGAAACTTTGGTCGTGAAATTACGTGTTATTTGGCTCTGTTCTGGCGGTAGCCCTGCACCTCATGTTCGAGGATACAAAGTGAACTTCTAGGTTAATCTAGCAATTGAAATATCTTATAAACAAAAATTAACACCATGTCTACTTCATCGAATGACTACGTACGGGTCATGGACACACCCAAATTACAAAAAACACAATCTTTCCTTTATTAATCTTGTAATTCCTCCTTTCAACTCAAAACGACCGGCACTACAATCCTGACGTACACCCCGAACTAGTCTCTAAAACCAACTGACTCCATCGACGCCAGGCTTGCCACTGTCGTGCTCCAAAGTTGAAAATTTTTCCCAAATGGTCGTGACGCCAAATCGAGGGACAGACTTATTTTGTCATGGTAGTCAGTTTGCAATGACAATAAAATTATAATATGCTCCTTTTTTGTAAGTTTAATAACCATTGATGGCATAAAAATATGGCTTTATATATTTCGGCATGAATAATTAGTCTAAAAACAGCGTGAAAGTTGGAAAATGTACCCTAGGGACACGTCATGGTCGTGAATTTCGAGACTTTAAAAATACGAAAAAAATACCTAGAACCTATTTAAAACCAAATAAATGTGTGTAACATGTTGCCCCCGTCCCAAAAAATATTAAAACACATAATAATAAACTACAAATCCAGTATCTACGAAGTAAAAGGCCAGGGACATGAAAACGTACGTTTTTAAATTTTCACACTGTTATGCTTTAAAGAATTTTCCTAACCTAGCTTTTGTTTGTAAAAAAACGTTACTGTTCGAAGATGAGTGAAATGGATAACAAAAAATATTGTACGTAACCCCCTGTATATTGTTGGGTCAGGTAAAATCTCACGCAATAGCATGTTTACATCACTTAAACGCAGTGGCGTAACAAATTTTTACGGGCCCCTCTGCAAACTGTTTTTTGGCCCCCCCCCCTCTCATGAGCTATTTTTAGACCACCGATACAACATAATCAAACGCCCTCCCCCTCCCCCCAGAGTTATTTTTGGACCACCAATACAATGATCAAATAGATTAATCATAAAAAGAGTAGTAAATAGATTATGAAAAAAATATTTAATTATGGGTTATGTTCCATAAAAGGGTGTGTTAAGTATTTCAGTCGTGGTTTGATGAAAGTGTTACATCACTACATCATTATATCAATATTAGTGTTTGTAAATAGTTTTGAAATCAAATAAAAAAAACCTTATTTTCCATTTTGTCTATCAAAACGTTTATATCAAGGAGGTTAAAAATTTTAAATTTAATTGATCAAACATGTTATCCATTTTTATTACCCTGATAATTAGACTAATTCGTTAATTACATGGCAAAAATGTTGTTTGAATTCCCCTATTAACCCCCTTAGGCCCCTTAGTTGCCTTTTGCTGTATTGGCTATTAATTAACATCTGTGTCTAAGGAATGTGTCGGCCTTAGTCCCTTTCAAAACTAAAAGGTTGGGCCACTCATCCTACACTCATCTCCATTAATTCTTGGCTTAAAATACCTACATTGGTATGGTCGCCATTTCAAAGTAAAGTATTAAAGTCAATCAATCAATTATTTAAGATGGGGACGCCACTATGTGCGTGTTTCAACCCAAATATTAGTGAAGGATGAGAAAGTATTAATTTATTAGGTTAGTTTAACTCTTTGATTATAATTAACTCATAAACTAAAAGCTGGTTAAAGCTATGGTTCCACAGGATGCGGAATCTCCGCCGTGCGGTGCGATTTTTTCCGCTGCGGAATTAAAACGACACTGGTTTAATGGAGTTCCCATGTGTGTGGTTCCACTGACTTGCGATTCCGCGTCCCGAATTTTCGGTTCCGCATGGCGGAGAAATCATACTGTTCTGAGAGCAGTAGCAGTGCGGATTCCGCCAGCGGAGAAGAGCCATCAAATATTGTGACCGTGCAGTTTCATTATCTCTTATGCTGTAAAAAGAGTTATAGATGAACGATTATAAAGTAACACCTATAATCGCAACACCGATTTTCAACAAACTAATTGTTAAAATAAATTATTATAATACATTTAACATACTGTCGAAAATGGTAGACCTGACGAACAATTATCCTGAGATGTTTGGGTATCAAGTGTTAAACGGGATCTCGTGATTGAAACCCCTTAAGTTTTATTAAATAAATAGCAAAAATAGGCCCCTTTACTGTCTCGATTCTTAAATATGTCACTTCGATCACTGTGACTTGACACTAACAAAGATAAAAGATCGACAACATCATCATCAATGTCATCATATAGCATCAAAGACAAAAGGGCTTTCCTCTTTCTATCCATACTCGTCGCTAGTTTGGACAGAACTGAATCTCCGCAACGTTATTTTCGCAGTCTGTAGAACCACCCCTCTAGATTTTTCGCTGCGTAATTTTCCGCTGCAAAATTACGCACCGCGTGGCGGAGATTCCGCATCCTGTGGAACCATAGCTTAATTTAATAGATTGACGTACTTTTATCACAGGCTAAAATAGCCTATTGCATTTTTTATTTTATCTTTGTATGGGTTTCAAGCGTCTTATTATGTTGTAAGCGTTTATCTTACAACAAATGTCTTTAGTATTGGTTAACTGTGAGGTAAAATAAGATATGGGCTAACAAACACAGTCAGTAGAGTAGCAGTATATTGTATTTAACAAAATACAATCAATATTAGGACAAAACTAAAATGTAAAATAATACAACATTAAAAGCCCCAGCCAACGTTCATGACTCCAGGCTCCAAAGTAACAAAATGTTTGCAGACAACATAAGCAGTGTACGAAATCACCGAGAAGTAAAATATTTCTCGGCGACGAAAGTAATATTGCATTGCATAATAATCAAAGGTCCACGTCTTAATTGCCACAATAACCCCTTAGTTCGTTATCACTGAAGAGGACTAACGAAATTAAACGATAACTGATAACAACATATTATTAATAACATAAATGTTATTACTTGTTCAATACAATTATTGAATGATTGATAATACATTTAAATAAGAATGAATTCCAATTTTTCAGCCCCACTTGCCTCACGGGCCTCTCTTCTCACCGTTTCCCGCTCACCGGTTCACAGGCCCCCTCAGTTCCAGGGCCCCCCCCCCCCCCCGCATTGCGGGCCCTTCTGTTACGCCACTGCTTAAACGAATTATGCAACTCGCACCTGTGTTATGTAAAAACGCTCTTACTACCCTTGTAATGTAAATAGCTATATATATGTTGTGTTTTACTTATCTTGTTTATTTTTTGCTGGTAGTGTGGTGAAAGTGTCATACGAGACTGTGTTAACCCTTTCCACTCGGATTAGTTGACCCCTTGTTGCCCCATACGCTTGCATTTATTGCCATGCAAAAAAACATGTTTTAAGTTTTGAGTACATATACTGACTAAAATAAATTATTTGTTGTACTTGAGGGCTTGATTCTTATTCAGCATAAAATTGTACACAAGTAAAACAAAATATCAAAATAAATATACCCATAAAATATTTTTTGTGTGGTCATAATATAAAAAAAGCAAAATAAAATGTACAAAATATTTTTTAGGAGGCTTTTAAAAAAACGTTAACACATTTTTCAGGATTTGTAAAACACTTTATCAACATTAGTTATCTAGTTGCCAATTCAAATCAGCCATTACAAGAAGGATTAGGTGTATTTTTAATGAAAAAATGCATTTCAAACTTAGATTTTTTGGTGATTTTGGTCGTCATGGTTTCTATTTACACTTCTCTATTCTTTAATCCACAGCTGACTAAATAAACTTACAATTATTTTTCAAGCTACCAAAGACATGTAAAATGAATAAGGAAATCATTAAGTTTGTATTCAACACAAATTCAAAACATGCAAACACTATATAAAAGGGATTTATTAATAAAAAGCCGATGCTGAAAATGTCGCGGCGGCCGCGACATACGAGTGGAACGGTCAGACGTGAATGTCGCGGTAGCGGCGACATACGAGTGGAAAGGGTTAATGATAATCACATGAAAGCTTGTACCGTAAACATCTACTTTCCAGCCTTATGGCACAATAAACTTTTACCAAACCATATTTGTACGTAGGCTAGTGGCTAGTATAATTTTTGAATTAATATAACCACGCAATATTTCTTCTGTTTCAGAATACAAAGAGTACGCAAAGAAACTAAAAACTGCCAAAAATGAAATCGCTTTCGACGCATCAAAAAAACCTGTGCAAGGTTTACTTAAAAACTCAACCCCAAGTCCTATCAACCCGTTTTACAAGAAAAAGCTGAATTTCTTGAAAAAATCTCCAACTAGCAGTTGAATTTAAAGTTGGTACATTTGTTATAAATGTAAATTTTTTACAGTCTTCTGGAATATTAAAGATTAAGTTCTGCACATGGAATGTTGTTTTTCATTTTACCCTACAACACTTGCCTTCTTGTTCTTGTGGTTTGGCATTACAAGTCTAATTGTTACTTACAGGCAACAACAAGTTTCAGTTTATCGTCACAATCCCAGAAAACACTTGTTAGAAAAGGTCAAAACACTCAAAACCAAAGGAAGAACAGTCTGAAAAATGTTCCTAGTTATTTTTAAAAACTAAAATTTTAAAAAGAATATGAAGAAAGAAAGCTGGAAAGTTTTAATATTATAAGTGTTTGTCTACAGTCGGGACCACGAAAGTTTGCAGTTGGCAGCAGCCAATCACAAGACAAGGCTAGTGCGATGTTGCCATATCGCCCGTTGACGACACTTATTAAAATACTAAAAATATTTTCAAATTAGCTGGTACTAGCTTAGTGATGTAAAATACCCAGGTATTTAAAACTCGGGGTAAATACCCTGGGTATTTACCCGGGTAAATACCCAAAATCCATAAATACCCGGGTATTTTGGGTATTTATGAAATCAATTGAAATTCATTTTTATTCACCCCTAAATATGTTATTGTTATCATTACATGATAAATTAGGATAGTCTATAACACTTTTTACAGTAACTTGAAGCTTTGCTATTACCTTTTATTTAATGATTTAGCACTTTTTTTATGAAATCAAGACAACACCTCATCAGAGAAATAGTAAACCTAAACCTACTTCTACTGTTATTAAATTATGATAGTTAAAATTTGTATTGTGTAAATGGCTTGGAAGGCTAGACAGACCCAAGGAATGATTGATATAGGCAGAATGGCAGAATACTGAAAGTACAGTAGACTCCCTCTTATCCGGACTCCTCGGGACCGAGACTAGTCTGGATAACGGTTTTTCAGGTTAAACCGACGTCCCCGAAAACTTGTAAAAAGAAACCGAAACCGTGTACCGGTACTGTCATATTCGACTTTAATTTAGGAGAGCATTGTATTTAGATACGTGATCACTGGTCTCAAATCTTTCCCACGAGAACAGTCGTTTCAGTACCGCTCACTTCTTGCCAATCTAGTCAGGTTAAACCAATGGGATGATAAAAATTGTCCGGTTAAGAGGGAGTCTACATTAAACTTTTCTGTGTTACCGCTTAGTTGGAAACAATTAGGATAAACCTACTAAAAAATGTATCTCCTGTTTTTTGGTCTAACTTATAATATAATTTGAAAAGATTTATTGTGCTATAGATTCAAATTTTTTTAATCACAAGCTTATGAAATTAGTTTTTTTTTATACCAACAAAAGATCTAGAACAAAAATATTGTTAAATCCTGCCATCCTACAGATTGAATTTTAATTATTTTCTTATGTTGTTTACACATAGGCCACTACTAGGTTAAATTTTCCTGTCTTTCTAAATAATAATTATTACTTTACAAATTATTTTTCTTCACTTTTAATAAAATAAATTCATTTATCTATCATAGAAATTAAAAAATAATAAGTAGTCAAGACCAGTGCAACCATGCGACCAGGGTATTTATGCCGATTATGCTTTATGCTCAGACCTGGGTATTTATGGATATTATACCGAGAAGTAAAATGCAAGTAGTGACCATATGAAATTTTGTTTAACACATTTTATTATCATTTTGCTATCCTTACAAGATAATAAATGCAAAAAAAAACATCTCAATCTTCTCTAACTTTAATACAAATTATAAATACCCAGTTTTTGGGTATTTACCCGGGCCTGGGGTAAATACCCAGGTAAATACCCAATTTATATTTACCTACCCACTGGGTATTTACCCGGCCCACATCACTATACTAGCTGCTATACCCGTGCCTTGCAACGGGGTCAAGATGAGGAAGAGACAATTTTGGTTCCTTGAAAATAATGCCAAGCAGCTTGAGAATGCTAAATAGAACAATTATTATGTTCCCTAGATCTGCTATATGTAGAACTTTTATTAATTTAAAATTAGTATTATCTGGCTACATAAACATAACTGTAAAAATCCATCCATTCCATGTATCGCAGCTTTTTGTTTCTGCTTGGTACAAATTATTAGCTGTTGTCACAAATTTAAAAAAATAATAGTGCTGCACCCTGTTGGTAAACCACCATACCTGTGCTTCGCAGCGGGAAGAGAACGCTTAAGAGAATAATTAATTATTAATTATTCTTTAGATCTGCTGTATTTAGATAAACTTTTAGTAATCCACTAAAAGTATTAACTTAAAATATTAACTGGCTACTTCGTTAACTATTAACGTTTCCCAGACATATTTTTTTTGGAAATAAACCATACAAATACAATAGGTTTTCATTTTGGAAAAAAGAAAGTCAATAAGTTAATGAATTACGTTCTTAAAAAATAGAACTCCTTATTCACACAATATCAAAAATTATTTTATTAAATTAAAAACATAAACATAAACTGTAAACCCTACTTTGACAGTTCTAATTTTGTATCACAGCTGCTTGGTTGAAATTAGCGTTGTCATAAATTTAGACAATTAATACTGCTGCACTCTGTTGGTACATCTTGTAACCTTTTAATGCCATTGACCATCACAGAATCAAATTGTTTAGTTGAAACAGCTGTTAAGATTCTTTAATCTATATAATTAATACGCTACATGAAATTTTGTCGGTTGAACTCCTCCGCCATTTCTTAGCCGATTTTATCTATTGTCGTCTCATTGGAAAGAGCGTGTCGCGTAGATTTGCAAACTGACCTTACATTTTTTTTAAGTCCCTTGGGCTCTGCCCCAGTGGCTTTTAAAGTTCCCATGTTATCCTTATGAAGAACATAATTGTTTACATTTTGATCAGCTGTATAATGTAATTGCTGTTGCTGTGCATTGAGTACATTTATTTACTATTTGAGTTTGTGTAAACATAACCCCCAAGACAGACCGTGTTAGTATGGTTGTATCTTAAATTTGTGTATTTATCGTTGTTTTGTGTCGCTATGACGTATCGTGTTAGCATGATTGTAACTTAAATTTGTGCATTTATCGTTGTTTTGTGTAGATATACAATTTGTTTATAATAGTCAGCACCTGACCTTGGACAATCTCAACCATTAGGTTACAAATGCGCCCTTAACACTATCCCAAAACGACTTTTCGTTCTCAATTGGCCCTCTATCAATGACCTGTGTTGCCTGTACAGCGAGGCATTTTGAGAAGGAGAAAACCGTCCGTAATGCTTTAGGTTTATCAATAATGAAGATAAACATGGTTTGAGTTACACACCGGTAATCTCTGAGTTGACTCTTTTAAACTCATTGTAAACATGACTGTTATTCGTTTTGAAATAACTCCTGTAATACTTTGCAATTGCTCGAATTTGAGCAACATGTACACTACAGTAGTTCCATTAAATATGAGTACTTATAAGTTTAACATGGGAAACTCCAGAGCCACTGGGGAGGAGCCCTTTTGAGGGACCTGCACCAAACTTCTCACAAACCATCCTTGAATAATGCTTAATAATGCCTGAAAGTTTCATTACAATCTGTCAAGCGGTTTTGGAGTCCATAATGTTCAAATCTATCTATGTATTAAATACGTAAGCCGATTCTTTGCGTCAAAATTGTGGGCGACAAATGACAAATTCTTTATTTAACCTGCCCTGAGTTAGACCAAAGGTCCACTCTTCCCCCAGGACAGGACAGGGCGACTGGGAAGTCGTAGAACAACGGGAGAGGGCTCAAATTAAAGGTCTCGATCCCGTGACGACGGGAAAAATAGTGAAATTCCCTAAATTTAAACACAAAATTAGATATAACGTAAAATGTTCTCCATAAGAATAGCATTAGAAGCAAAGAAAATAGAACCTATATTCTGTGATTAGAAGGCATTTTACTGCTGATTTTTGTTTACTTCAATACAGCTCTGATCGTGATTTATCATTAAGCAAGTAAGCAATATTACATTTGGATTACTAATTTGCCAGTCAATTCTGCAATGTAATGTATACTATAAAATATCACCTGCAGCAAACCTGCCGACTAAGCGAATTTCCATTTGTCTGAATAGATTTTAACCTATTTAAATAACATTAGGTTTAATGAGTACCTAGGTTTGCTGCCAAAAAGAAACTAATAAAGTGTATTTTTTTTAATATTAATAACTTAGTATAAAATAAATAAATTTGCCAAGATTGATCAAAATATATCCATAAATAAGCAAACTACGACATTTTACAATATTCTCCATAAGAATAGCATGGGAATTTTAAATTTACAATTTTTTTAATTTTCTCCGTTACCAATAACCGTACAAAACACTTTGATATACTAAATTATTTGTTTTTTTAAGCTCTTTAAAAAGGTTTAGAGAGAAATTAGAAAATTTTGTGTTTTGAGGGTCAAAAATTAGAAAAACCATTTTTTACCCCATAAAACCCCGTTCCCATTGTCCGATCATGCTGGTTCGCGAACTCATTCAAGTTTATCCCGCCTTACACCTTTAAACCAAATTTCATCAAAATTGGACAAAAATTACAAGTTATCGCGTTCACGGACGTATATATATATATCTATAAGTATAAAAGAGGATGTTTGTATATTTGTTTGGCAGTGATAAACTCAGACACCGCTGAACCGATTGCCACGAAACTTGGTACATAGGTGTAGAATGTCATGGAATAGGTTTATACACCATCAATTTCGCGATCCGTCCAATCGGCTCCGCCCCAGTGGCTCTGGAGTTTCCCATGTTAACCTTATGAGAAATGGAATTAATGAATCTTAACAGCTGTTTCAATTAAACAAGTTGGTTCTGTTCTATGATGTTCAATGGCATTAAAGTTACAAGGATTACCAACAGGGTGCAGCGCTATTATTTCTTTTACATTTATGACAACAGCTAATTTGCAACCAAAAGGTGAGTGAGCGTAGCAAACGAACTTCAACCTGGAGGCGAGTTAGCGTAGCGAACGAGCTAACCTGAAGGCAAGTGAGCGCAGCGAACGAGCTCCAACCTAAAGGTGAGTGAGCGTAGCGAACGAGCTCCAACC